CCCATATGAAATTTTGATCATTTTTTTCTCACAAATAGAGCTTTCTTTTGGTGGTATTTAATTGCCACTGGGCGCTTTACTTTTTGCGCTATAAATAAAAAAAGTGCAAAAAATTTGAAAAAAAAAAAAAAAAAGTTTCTTTGTTTCTATTATAACATTTTTCAAACAGGTAATTTTTTTCTCCTTCACTGATGTGCGTTGATGAGGCAGCACTGATGGGCACTGATAGGCGGCACTGATGGGCACTGATAGGCAGCACTAATGAGGTGGCACGGATAGGCGGCACTGATAGACAGCACTAATGAGGTGTCACGGATAGGCGGCACTAATATGCAGCACTGATAGGCGGCACTGATAGGTGACACTGATGATGGGTACTGATAGACGGCACTGACTGGCATCACTGCTGGGCACTGACTGGCGGCACTGACTGGCACAACCGCCGGGCACTGACTGGTGGCACTGACTGGCAGCACTGCTGGGCTGCACTGGTGGGTGGCACTGGTGGACAGCACTGGTGGGTGGCACTGGTGGGCACAGGTGGGTGGGCACAGGTGGGTGGCACTGCTGGGCACAGGTAGGTGGCACTTCTGGGCACAGGTGTGTGACGCTGCAGAGTGGCACAGGTGGTACACTGCTGGGCACAGGTGGGTGATCTGCTGGGCACAGGTGGGCGGAGCTAGTGGGCGCACTGCTGGGCACAGGTGGGCACCGATCATCAGGGCACTGATCATCAGTGCCCTGATGATAGGTGCCGATCCCCGCTCTGACAACTGCCAGTTCTCGGCAGTACTTTCCTCACGATCTGACAGCGTGAGGAAAGTGCAGCCGAGAATCGGCACTTGCATTTCCCTCTGATCAGCGTGTCATTGGACACCGCTGATCACGTGGTAAAAGGCCGCTGTGATTGGCCTTTTACCACATCACGTGATCAGCTGTGTCTGTAGGACACAGCGATCACTGAGATCGCCGGGTGCGCGCGCCCCCTGGGGCGCGCAGGAGAGCGTGTTCTGGGAGGACGTCATATGACGTCCGCTCAGAACTGGCCGGCCGCAGTGCAGCCGTCATTCGGCTATCTGCGGTCGGCAGCTAGTTAATGACATCTCAGTCTTAGTCCGTAGAGTTCAATATTGAGTTGGCCCCGCCCTTTGCAGCTATAACAGCTTCAACTCTTCTGGGAAGGCCGTCCACAAGGTTTAGGAGGGTGTCTATGGGAATGCTTGACCATTCTTCCAGAAGCCCATTTGTGAGGTCAGGCACTGATGTTTGATGAGAAGGCCTGGATCACAGTCTCCGCTCTAATTCATCCCAAAGGTGTTCTATTGGGTTGAGGTCAGAACTGTCAAATTCCTTTACCCCAAAACTCGCTCATCCATGTCTTTCTGGACCTTGCTTTGTGCACTGGTCATGTTGGAACAAGAAGGGTCCATCCCCAAACTGTTCCCACAAAGCTGGGAGCATGAAATTGTCCAAAATGCTGATGCCTTAAGATTTCCCTTCACTGGAACTAGGGGGCCAAGCCCAACCCCTGAAAAACAACCCCACACCATAATCCCTCCTCCACCAAACTTTACACTTAGCACAATGCAGTCTGGCAAGTACCGTTCTCCTGGCAACCGCCAAACCCAGTCACATCCATTGGATTGCCAGACAGAGAAGCGTGATTGGTCACTCCAGAGAACACGTCTCCATTGCTCCAGAGTAAAGCGCACTTTACATCACGGCATCTGATGCTTTGCATTGCACTTGGTGATGTAAGACTTGGATGCAGCTGCTCGGCCATGGAAACCCATTCCATGAAGCTCTATACGCACTGTTGTTGTGCTAATCTGAAGGTCACATGAAGTTTGGAGGTCTTTAGCTATTGACTCTGCAGACAGTTGGTGACTTCTGCGCACTGTGCGCTTCAGCATGCGCTGACCCCACTCTGTCATTTTACGTGGCCTACCACTTGGTGGCTGAGTTGCTGTTGTTCCCAGTTGCTTCCACTTTGTTATAATCCCACTAACAGTTGAGCGTGGAATATTTAGTAGCCAGGAAATGTCACGGATGGACTTATTGCACAGGTGACAACCTATCACGGGACCACGCTTGGAGTCACTGAGCTCCTGAGAGCGACCCATTCTTTCACAAATGTTTGTAGAAGCAGTCTGCATGCCTAGGGGCTTGATGTTATACACCTGTGGCCATGGAGGGGATTGGAACACCTGAATCACATGATTTGGAGGGCTGCACCAATACTTTTGGCAATATAGTGTGTATATGTGTGTATATATATATACTGGGATAGGAGCAAGGATTTATTTCATTTTTTCATTTGATAATGCATTTATTTAGTGATGGGCCGAACACTCCCCTGTTCAAAGTTCGCAGTCAAATTTTGTTAGGTTCGACCGCGAAGTTTGAACAGAGGGGACAGTTCACTTACGCTTCGTACACATTATAAGAAAATCGTACGAAAATTTTCGTATGAGGACCGATTGTCCGACAATTGGATCGTTAGCTTTCGAGAGCTGATCACGACAATTTTTCTCGTACGATACCAGATCGTACGATTTTCATTTAATCAGTACAGCAGCCATCTGAAAGTACAATACAAATACAATGCAATACATGACAGCATTTTCGAAATTCTTTTCTTTCATAGGAGAATTTTCGTATCTTTAGTAACCTTTTCACTTTCGATGTGAGACTAGCAGGCGAAAAAAAAACGGCCGATCGTCCGATATTCTCATCGTGTGTATGGGGCATAAGCGGTATCTGAGTATGCAGTAAGATACTGCACAGCTGCTAAAAACATTCTTTAACCCCTTGTCTACAGGGCACTATACCCCCTTCCTGCCCAGGCCAATTTCCAGCTTTCAGTGCTGTCACACTTTGAATGACAATTGTGCGGTCAAACAACACTGTACCCATATGAAATTTTTTATCATTTTTTTTTGTGACAGATAGAGCTTTCTTTTGGTGGTATTTAATCACCTCTGGGGTTTTTATTTTTTCTTAAACAAACCAAAAACCACTGAAAATTTTGAAAAAAAAAAATGTTTTCTTAGTTTTTGTTATAAAATGTAAATAAGTGATTTTTCTCCTTCACTGATGTGCGCTAATGAGGCTGCAGTGATGGGCACTGATAGGCTGCACTGATGTACACTAATAGGTGGCACTGATGGGGAGGCACTGGTAGGTGGCACTGATGGGCATTGACAGGCATCACTGATGGGCACTGAAAGGCAGCACTCATATATGGCACTGATAGACGAAAACTGTTAGGTGGCCCTGACTAGGATTGATAGGCGGCACTGACTGGCACTGTTATGCGGCACTGATAGGCAGCACTAACGGGCACTGATAGGCGGCACTGATGCACACTGATAGGCGGCACTGATGCACACTGATAGGCGGCACTGACTGGCACTGATAGACGGCACTGATAGATGGCACTGATTGCAGCACTGATAGGTGGCACTGACTGGCATTGATATAGGTGGCACTGACTAGCACTGATGGATGACACTTAAAGCAGCTCAGATGGGCACTGATATGTGGCATTGATGTGCACTGGCCGGCACTGATATGTGGCATTGATGTGGCACTGATAGCTGGCACTGATGGACACTGACAGGTGGCACTGCTGGGGCTACACTGATCATCAGGGCACACTGATCATCAGTACCCTGATGATCAGTGTACATGTCCCCTCCGTGGAAAGCTGATTACCGGCTCTCCTCTCCTCTGTCAGCGTGACAGCTCGTGGGGAGAGAAATTCCAATATCCGACATTTCCCTATTTACATGCGATCAGCTGTGATTGGACACAGCTGATCACCTGACCGAGACGACATCTTCGTCTCTTTCCGTTGATCGGTGATCCGCTGTGTCCTGCTGTCTCCCGGAGCCGCACGTGCGCGGTTAGAATGAATGGGACGACGTCATATGACGTCCTCCCAGAACGAGAGAACCACCTTGCGCCCGCCATATTACTGTATGGCGGGCAGGAGGTGGTTAATGTTTCAGCTGTCAGCGGAGGTGATTGGATCACCTGTGAATCCAATGATTTGGAGGGCTGGCCCAATACCTTTGGCAATATAGTGTGTATATATATATATATATATATATATCTGTATATACAGCATAAACAGGACTACTGAATAAAGTATGAAGACCATGGCTGAAACTGAAAATATTTGTAACCCAGGCAGCCAACCAATCAGTTTTAAGTTGATCAAAGCCAAATCTGGAAGATATATTGATGGTTGCTATGGGGTTTTTTTTTTGCCCATTATAACCTTTTATTAATTTCCATTCTGAATAACAACACGGCTAATGTATTCTCTGCCCCCCCCCCCCATTGAAAAAGCCACAGGGTAAAGCCAGGGTTCCATCACGTTAGGAACAGGGTCACAAGTGCTGCCATGGTAACAACCTACCATCAGGGAGGCATACAAGACCTCGCTGGGCCGTAAAGCGGAGCTTCACCCAAAAGAGAATGTTTCACTTTCACTTCTCCTCCCCACCTTTTTTTCGGGGAGAGGAGGGGGGGGAGCGGACAGGTAACCGCCCACTTCTGCTCAGATCACCTCTATCCCTCCCTCTCTGCAGTCTTCTGGGACAAAGCAAAGCGCATGCATTTTAGACAGTAGGCTGTGAAGCTGCAAGCAGCACGACTGGCTGCCCACAACTAAGATGGCGGTGCCGGGTACCTGAAGGCTTGTGAAGAACTAGCCCAGGTGAGGACGGCACTGGATCCCTGGACAGGTGAGTGTCCTGTTATGAAAAGTCAGGATTTGTAACTGCTTTTAATTGTTTTTTCCCCCACAGCGGAGATCCATCTAAACCCTAACAATGAATTTCTTGGAAATGCTCCCTTTTGACCTGTTAAATATATGATTAAGGTCTGGTTCACACTATAGAAACGCAATTCAGATGCGTTCCGGATGCGTTTTTACATGCATGTATTTGACGCATTTTGTGATGTGTTTTTACGCATTCCAGTATGTTTTTTTATGCATTCAGTTCATTTTTTCCTCTCTTGTTTTCTTCAATTTAAATAATGACATGTGCGTTCTGGTGCGTTTTTGGTGTGTTTCGGTGCGTTTCTGATGCGTTTTACTGTGTTCCAGTACAGCTCTGTGCATAAAAAAATGCAGCCTGCTCTACTTTTTTTTTCTGCAACCGGAACGCACTGGAACTGCAAGCACTGATGTGAACTATGACACTGAGCCTGTGTTCACATACATGCGATGCGGTACATCACATGTGATTCGCACAGGAACCTCACCGCATTCCTGTTCAAATCACATGCGATTTGTGTGCGCTGCGATTAGAACCATACATTTTTTATGTCTCTAATCGCACCGCACCAGCACCAGCACCAATAACCTGCAGGACCCTTTTTTTGGTCCACACTGGAATCAGGGTATTCACACCTATGCAATCCAATTCTGCACATCGCACCGCGTTTTGTGGACCGCTTTCGGGGTGTTGTTAACTTAACATACACACCCGCAGCGGTTCGCATGAACGGGGTGCGATTCTAATGCGGTGTGGAATTCCCACTGAAAACACTTCAAAATCCACACAGCATCAGTGTGAACCAGGGCTGACAACCATATAACCTACTTTCTGTGCATTTTGGATGGAGAAAAAACGCAACTGAAATGCATGTAGTGTGAACCAGGCCTAAGGGCCAGTTCAGTGTGAAAAATGCACTTCAGATGCATTCCGGATACATTTTTGATTACAGTTCACACCACACGCAGTTCCGGTGCAGATTTGCCATGTTCCAGTGTGGTTCTGTGCAGAAAAAATGCTGCATGTTCTACTTTTTTTTTCCTGCACCAGAAACTCACTGGAACTGACTACACTGGTGTGAACTAGGACCACTGGAATACATGGAAAACGCTGTGCAGACATTTATGATGTAGAAAAAAACGCACTGGACTGCATCTAGTGTGAACTAGCCCTAAAGGGCTTCACCTTTACTAAAAAAAAAAAACTGCCTATGCAGGTAAGGGGGGTCTGTAGATAAAATCACTGTGCAGCTCTGATTAAAGTTGCTTTAGGTGTAGGCCATTTACGTATCTCTATTCACGCCTGACTGAAAAACTCCCTGGACGTTGCTAAGAGACTCCTATCTATTACTGTTCACCTCCACCATTACAGAAGTGAGCATTCAAATGCCGAGCTCAGAGCAACTGCATCAGGGAAGAGAAAGAGCATGAGAGGGGTTTTGAATCGGGGAAAGAATTCACGCCTGCGGTGATGGAGGTGAACTGTACCAGCTGGGAGTCTCTTAGCAACAGCCTAGCAACAAGGCAGGACACGATGATGCCATCTCTGGGAGTTTTTCACTCAGGCTTCATGACGTACATAGATGGCCTAGACCTATAGCAAGGGCAGCTTTCATTTTTGTGAAAAGCTGGCCCTGCGCTCACTATTTCCGGGTCTCCACCACCCTACTCTATTTTTAAAGTTTTTAGTTTTTTTATTTTAATTCATCTGTATATCCGCGCTCATTTTATCATATATCTGGTCTCTCCCCGGACCCCGCATTCAATATATATTGGTCTCCCAGGACACTGCATTCACTATATATTGTGTTTCGCCAGGGACCCTGCATTCACTATATCTGGTCCTCCCAGGACCCTGCATTCAATAGTATATCTGGTTTTCCCCGGACACTGCATTCACATATATCCCGGTCTTCCAGGACCCTGCATTCACTTTTCTTTTATTATCTCCCAGGAACCTACTGCATTCACTATATCTCCATCTCCCAGGACCCTGCATTCACTTAATCTGGTCTCCCGCGGACCCTGCATTCACTATATCTGGTCTCCCCTGACCCCTCGGGCATTCACTTATCTGGTCTCCATTTGAATATATACCCTGAATTCACTATTTTTATTTGTCTCCCAGGACCCTGCATTTCTACTATTATCTGGTCTCCCAGGACCCTGCATTTTATATATCTGGTCTCCTAGACCTTATGCATTTTACTATATTCCCGATAGCCTATAATTCATTTATTGGTCTCCCAGGACCCTGCATTCACTATATCTGGTCTCCCCGGACCCCTGCATTCATTTATATCCTGGTCTCCCAGGACCCTGCGATCACTATTAATCCGGTCTCCCAGGACCTGCGACGTTCACTATATCTGGTCTCCCGGACCCTGCGTTCACTATTTACACTTGATATTCCCTGTCTCCCCGGACCCTGTTTCATTATATTTCTGGTCTCCCAGGACCCTTGCGTTCACTTTATACTGGTCTCCCCGGACCCTGCATTCACTATATCTGGTCTCCCAGGACCCTGCGTTCACTATTTCACTATATAAATCTGGTCTCCCCAGGACCCGCATTTCACTATATTTATGGTCTCCACTTTTTACCCTGCGTTCACTTTTTGCATTACGTCTTATTAAATAACCTGCATATTATTATTTATATATATATTCTTACAGATGGTCTCCCAGGACCCTGCATATATTTTTTTTTAACTACTATATCTGGTCTCCCAGGACCCGCGTTCACTATATCTGGTCTCCCTAAAGGACCCTGCATTCACTATATCTATGTCACTCCGGATCCCTGCATTCACTATTTCTGGTCTCCCCGGACCCTGCATTCACTATATCTGGTCTCCCCGGCATATTCACCCTGCATTCACTATATCCGGTCTCCCAGGAACCCTGCATTCACTATATCTGGTTTCCCACACCCTGCATTCATTTATTGACAAACCTAGCATTTATTGTAAATATTATATTGGTATTTTGAATACCTTTTCTTGCATACAGTATATCTGTCTTGTGACTTATCATCTTCTATTACTATTGTAGGGTAATTTTTTCTGTTTATGATGAGATGCAGGACTTTTGAACTTATTATATTTCATGTCTCCCCGCGACCTTGCATTCTACTATATCCCTCATTCTCCGCAGGACCCTGCATTCACTATATATCTATCTTCCCACAGTTACCAACTTGCGTATTATGTATATCTTAGTCCTCTCATATTAAACTGCTATAATACCTTTATGTCTCATAGTATAGAACCCTGCGTAATGCACTATTTATATTCTTTATTTATACACTGATTACAGATATTTCGGGGTAATGCACGATTTTTTAGATTACACTGAAATATCTTTTAAACTATTTATTTATCTGTCTTCCGCAGAACACTTACGTTAATTCAAGGCTTTTTAATTTTTTAATTCTGTTCTATGAATGTATATGCAGGACCGCTTTCCACTATTGGGGGATCAGATGTCCATCCATATTTTTATATTTTGAATATTTTAAATATATATGTTTTGATCGGGCCGTGAATTATTTTTTTTTACTTTTTAATCCGGCCACTGAGCTTTTTTTATAATTGGGGACTAGGCTCCTCTCACAGTCCGCCCATTTTAAGATATAATAGGATGAATTAAATATGGGGGATGAATTACTATTATATGAGGATAATAATCCCTTTTACTATTAATTAACGTATAATATTGATTAATGTGCCATTATATTTATCGCCGATCGGCTATGGGGGATGCCTGAAACTATACATGGGCTGAGATACTCGAGGGGGACATTGAATGCTTTGTTATATGGAGACAGATTTTATTACTATGGGCGATTAATACTATATGGGGGGATTTTAAATTTATAAGGAACGCGAGGATGCAAAGGTAAGTAACTGAAATGGGGATTGTTACTTTGGAATATGGGGGATTAATTATCTTTTAATATTACATATATGGGGGATGAATTTTACTATTATGGGGATGAATTACTATATGGGGGATGAATTACTATATGGGGATGAATTACTATGGGGGGATGAATTACTAATGGGGGATGAATTACTATGGGGGGATGAATTACTATTTGGGGGATGACTTTACTATATCGGGGAATGAATTAGATTATTATTGGGGGATGAATTATATATGGGGGATGAATTACTATATGGGGGATGAATTACTATAGGGGGGTATTTTTAATTATTATATGGGGGATGAATTACTATATGGGGGATGAATTACTATGGGGATGAATTTTTCTTATATGGGGGATTGTAATTACTATGGGGGATATTCATAATTTATATGGGGGATGAATTATTCTATGGGGGATGAATTTTACTATGGGGGATGAATTACTATGGGGGATGAATTACTATATGGGGGATGAATTACTATATGGGGGATGAATTTACTATATGGGGGATGAATTACTATATGGGGGATGAATTACTATGGGGATGAATTACTATATGGGGGATGAATTTACTATATGGGGGATGAATTACTATGGGGGATGAATTACTATATGGGGGATGAATTACTATATGGGGGATGAATTACTATAATGGGGGATGAATTACTTATGGGGGATGAATTACTATATGGGGGATGAATTACTATGGGGGATGAATTACTATATGGGGGATGAATTACTATGGGGGATGAATTACTATATGGGGGATGAATTACTATATGGGGGATGAATTACTATATGAATTACTATATGGGGGATGAAATTACTATATTGGGGGATGAATTACTATATGGGGGATGAATTACTATGGGGGGATGAATTACTATAATGGGGATGAATTACTATGGGGGATGAATTTACTATATGGGGGATGAATTACTATATGGGGATGAATTACTATATGGGGGGATTTTTAATAATTTTTTACTATGGGGGATGAATTACTACTATGGGGGATGAATTATATATGGGGGATGAATTACTATATGGGGGATGAATTTACTATATGGGGGATGAATTTTTATATGGGGGATGAATTACTATGGGGGATGAATTACTATATGGGGGATGAATTACTATATGGGGGATGAATTACTTATATGGGGGATGAATTACTATATTATGGGATGAATGAATTACTATATTTGGGATGAAATTACTTATGGGGGATGAATTACTATATGGGGGATTTTTATTATATATGGGGGATGAATTACTATGGGGGATGAATTACTATATGGGGGATGAATTACTTATGGGGATGAATTACTATATGGGGGATGAATTACTATATGGGGGATGAATTACTATATGGGGGATGAATTACTATGGGGGATGAATTATGGGGGATGAATTACTATATGGGGGATGAATTACTATATGGGGGATGAATTACTATATGGGGGATGAATTACTATGGGGGATGAATTTTACTATGGGGGATGAATTACTATATGGGGAATGACTTTTACTATGGGGGATTGAATTAAATATGGGGGATGAATTACTATATGGGGGATGAATTACTATATGGGGGATGATGAATTACTATGGGGATGAAATTATTTATGGGGGATGAATTACTATATGGGGGAAAAATTAATATATGGGGGATGAATTACTATATGGGGGATGAATTACTATGGGGGATTAATTATATATGGGGGGGAATGAATTACTTATTTGAATTACTATGGGGGATGAATTTACTATATGGGGGATTAATTACTATGGGGGAAATAATTATATTAAATTTACTATGGGGGATGAATTTACTAATATGAATTAAATTAAATATAGGGGGATGAATTACTATTTGGTGGGGGATGAATTACCTTTCACTTTTAATTAAAAATTTAAATAAAAATTAATTTTTGGGGGATAAATTACTATTTGGGGGATG